TACAGTAGAGCGTCGATTTTCCGAATCAATTGGGGACTGGGGTTGTCCGGATAACTGATATTTCGGATAACTGGTTTACGTACGAAAAAATTGTTTAACGTATCCGATGTCGAAATTTTTATCCTTTGCATCTCGCTTCGCGTTGAATTTTCGTCGATGTTAAGCTTAAGAAAGACTATTGTATCGTTAAAAATTATTTTTTTATTTTGTACAAACAAAATAAATATATTGAAAAATATAAAAATAATAAAAAATTATACTTCAGATGTTAATTTAGTATCAAAAACGTAAAATATTGGAGTAGCCCAATACATAGCCGAAGATTGAAGCGCCACAGCACTGGCAAAAATTTAAATTTACCGACTGGAATTTTTTCGGATGATTGACGTTTCGGATGATTGACTTTCGGAAAATCTACCCTCTACTGTATTTCAAGAATATCCATTCCTCAGACTTTTTCTTCCAAGATCCAGTACTTTTAACTAAAATTCTAGTTTCTTCTTGGTCACGTTCCTTTAGCAGTTTCCATCGGTTTTCTCCCAACAACTTTTTTAACAAATGCTCTTTAGTAGCCATTTTTAAATATTCATATCAGCCGACCTAAAGTGACATCTCACAAGAAATTCTACCAGACAAAGAGGCCTTAGCACCTGGGGCCGCGAATCATCGAAGGACATCTCGTCAACGTGAAACAGTGAGCTCAGACACCTCACTGAATCTAATAAATATTGGTCTATGAACTTAGTTTGTATGAAGAAGAAGGGCCTGAAGAATTATTGTGAGCTTTCTTTCACTCGAATAAAATGGTTTGCTATGTAAATGAAGTCTTTTTCCGTACCATGAACACTTACAAATAACATCTCATCTCGCTCTCGACATCCTGACAGATATATTTCATGCTCAAAGACAATGTCAACCACAAACTTACGGTGATATCGGGGCCGTGAGCAACGTAACAACGTTTTCACAAAATTGTTTCATATTTATTAATTGTTAAATGTGATGAAAATATTTGGAAAAATTGATAAATAGAAAATTCTTCTACATCAAAATAAATTCCCACTCAAGATTACAAAAAAACCAGAATACCAGAATTTTTGAAAAATGATCTTTAGATGAAAATCTTTATATGTAAAGTCTTTCTTTTCTGTACACATCAAATATATTAAGTTTAATGTTAACAGCATTTTGAACTCAAATAGAAATTTTAAGCGAAACAACACTGATATTGTCTGGACCTCAAAGTTCTTTATATCGACCTGTATGGGTCGACTCCGAACTGCAAGAGTCCATGTTGACGAAAATAAAAATTGGGTGTGCATGAGATGTAAATGAGAGTCTACGAGAATGGATCCCGTTTAAGTAGGTCGTGATTGAAAATCTGGCTTTCCATGAATGGAATAGCACATAACACAATTCACAATTAAACTCACATAACACAAACCTAATAGAGATGCTTTTATTGTAAACCCAATTGAATTCCTTTTTATATTGGCAAGTTATAACCATTATCTATATAAACCTTGTGTCAAGTTTAAATCGATTTCCATGCAATGGGTTTACATAACTAATTGATTTGCACTTAAATATAAAAACTATGAAAAAATTGAAAGCTGTTAAATTAACTTTCGCATTATTTTAGTATATTAAATGTAAAATTCTCGTTAAAAGAATAAATTTATAAACAAAATTTAAAGCGAATCAATTTTACAATACATACAGTCGACCCCCCTATAATTACGGTCCCAATAATTACGATTCCTATAAAACTGCGAAAAAGTTGTGACGGTATCCGTAAAAAACAGTAAAAAACCCCCTATAATTACGTTAAACGTCATCGGGCAGCCGAACTACTTTCCCGCCGTTTGTAGCGCCACGCTACGGAGAGATTTCTATCGTCTGGACAGTATTATATAAATTATATATAAATTAGGTACTGTACATATAATTATATATTAATTATATATAAATTAGGTACTGTATATATAATTATATATTAACTTAATGTATTGTAACTTTATTATAATTAAATATATATTTTTCGCCGTCTAGCGTCACGCTACGGCGAGTTAGGCGACCTATCGTCTGTTTAGTACTGTAATTTTATACATTTCTTGTGAAAGAAACATTTCTTATTTAACGGCCATAAAAATTATTTATATTAATGATGTCTCCAAAGGTCAACGAAGTTTTCGCAGAAAAATAAGTTATCAGAAATCGGCCGTGGTTTGGTGTGCTGCTTCGCGACGAAAACAAGCTTTAGCAATGGGGTTTTCTAATGGTGCATACTCGGTAAGTAATCCTACAATTTTTTGTTTATAGCGTAGTTTATACGGATTATTTCCAAAAAATATATACGTATTTTGGAAATGTTGAGTCGGATTAGTCTAGAATCGATTAATTTTATAGAAGAAAACCTTTCAATCAGCCGTAGTCCGTAAACTTTACATGTGTCGGGCTGTGATTTTAACGACTCGTAAGAAATCGGATTCCTAAAAAATGAAACGTATCTATGATCTTATAGGGGGGTCGACTGTATTCTCAAATAAAATATCCATGTATTCTAATGCACTGATACGTGATATAAGTTACATAAGTGTCATAAAACCCACTCAGTTCCGAGTTTTCCTGAAATAGACATTAAATTTGAACCGGTCTTATATGAGTTTATCATTTTGCAGCTCAGTTTTAAAACAGAAATAAAGTACATATCTCCCCTGTAAGCTGTTAGAATAAATAACGTTAGATTTTAAACGGGGATTAGTTCATTTTTTGTATTTTTGCATTTTTATTGAACAATAATAACCTTTCATTCTAAATAATTTTCAATTAATGTTAATTTAAAGATTTATTAGTGTTATAACTATTTTTGAGGAATTAATTGTACAATGTGTAAGGTCTCATATTGTTTAAATTAGTGGCGGCGCTGATGTTGCCGCAGTTCGCCATGTTGTTTTCTGTTGTTTGTTCTTATCGCCGCAAGTTAAAGTTGGTAAGCATCAAATATTAAATTATTCATTAATTAGTTGCGTTATATTCGTTTATTAATTCATAACGTTGTCACTCGACGCCGATCTAAACCTTATATGGCGCAGTCGACAGTGGAAAGAACATTTCATTAACAAAATTGTTAATATTAAACTTTTAGAACTTCGTTTCAACGGTCGCCATTAACGACGAGCAAAAATCAAGAGTTTAGATTGTTCAAACGTATTAAACAAAAGATATCAATTCATAGAAGTTATAAATTCGAAGAAGTAGATTATTACTAATATCGTAAATTCTAAATTGAAAAAGAATTAATTTTAACGTTGGAATTTGCTCGCCATTACGTAGGCCTGACACTCTTCAGTCGTTTCTCGCCAAGAACGCTAAATAGATCTCGCCAAGATCGGTCGCCTATCGACACGAGCATTTGTTATAAATTCGCATTTCCGGTCAAAGTTGAAAACTTCGCTTCAGAATTATGACAACCATAAACGACGAGTTGAACTCTTTAACGTCAGAAGATATAAAACACTTTACTGTCGCCCAGTTGAAAGCCGATTTACGTTTGCGGAATCTTTCTCTTGTTGGAAGCAAAGACTGTTTAATTTCTCGCATCGTGGATGATAATATAAAAAGAAAACAGCAGGGAAATTTAGACGAACTCGCTACTCTTAGGATGCGTTCGAGTGACAAAGATGATGATGCTAAAATGATTCCTGACAGCGCAGAATTATTAAAGCAAATCCAACTATTACAAAAACAAGTCGAAACCCTAAATAATCGCAACAATACGCCACAAATTCCTGCACCTACTTCGCAACTGGATCCTAATATTGCTGCAGTCCTGACTACGCTAATGGAATCCCAAAAACAGTTGATTGAGAGACAAATAAATTCGCCAAGTACTATTCAAATCACGTCAACTAATGACACGGCAAATTCCATTCCGATATTTCGTGGTGATATGATTGATAATGCGCTCGAGTGGCTAAAAGAAGTTGAAAGAATTTCAACATTGGCAAACTGGACTGATGAACTCAAATTGACTAATACTATCTCACGTCTCGCTGGATCTGCTAGAAATTGGCAATTAACTCAAGGTAACCGTTACAATAATTGGATAGAATGGAAAGTTGCCCTTACATCAAGATTTAAAAGACGTATTACTATGCAAGAATTTTTAGCTTATCAAGCTGATCGGAAACTAAAAAGGAACGAAAGCTTGGTTGATTACATATATGCCAAAGACGCTCTCTTGGAAAAAGCTCCTTTTACTATCCCACAGCCAGATCGAATTTCAATGATCATTGGTGACATCACTGAAGAAAAATGGCAGATTGCCTTAGCTACACAGAACTCTAATACTGTCGAAGAGTTAATTGACAGAGCAATGGCACTTGATGCAATTCGAAACATGCAGCACGAATATAAATCACGCCAACCTTACGGATCACGCCCATCACCGAAAATTACACCAATATCTTCAAATCCGTATAATGAACAACTTCGCAAGTATAACCCTGAAACCGATGATCTTCGCGATATCACCTGTTGGAGATGTGGAACCAGAGGTCACGCATCGTTCATGTGCAGTTTACCGCCTCCTCAAAAAGGTTCATCAATTGCTCGCCCAAAAAATTCACCGAGTCGTTTTGAAGAAATTCAGAACCGTCAAACGAACGATTCTTCTCAGCATATCGAAAACACAACTAATCCCAATAATTTATCACCACATGGCGTTACAGGCCCAAAGTTTACAGATTTACGTCGCAATACTAAACGAAATTCAGCAACACGACCAGAGCCTAAAAGAGCAAATGACTCTAACTCTATAAACTGCATTAAGACCGATATAAAAATACCTGCTACCATTAACAATCAAACCGAAGTTCAAGCACTCTGTGATCCATGCGCAGATATCACAGTTATTCAGCAATCGTGCGTTCCACTTGATTGTGTCATTCATCCGTGGACCGATGGTGAATTCCAAGTTGTTGATCACGAAATAAAGCCCATAGGTTGGATATCCTTAAATATCAAGATTGAAAACATTGATCGTCTAATGCCAAAAATTGGAATTTGCAAACAACTTCCATTCTCGTTAATCCTAGGATTCGACTGGCAACAACAAGTTCAAGCCAGATGCACTTACGATCCTAACGGCTCATTATGTATCTCTACACCATCTGCACTTCATCTGTACGTCACGCGTCTAAAAACAGTATCAGCTGTATTTCTTCAAATGATACCTCATTACCGCCATTAGATGATGTTACTTTACCAACAGTAGTGCCAAATTGTTTTAGTCCCCAAACACAATTAAGGAAGCAAGCCCTACTTGAGGAAAAGGTGTTGAGAGTGGGAACACTGAATGTGGGAAGTATGACGGGAAGAGGAATGGAGGTGGTGGATATGATGAGGAGAAGGAGGATTGATGTCCTGTGCGTGCAGGAAACGAGGTGGAGGGGAGACAAGGCGAAGGAACTTGGAGAAGGATGTAAATTATTTTATAGCAGTGCAAACAAGAATGGAAGAAATGGGATTGGAATAGTGGTGGCTGGGAGGAGGAAGAGCGAGGTACTAGAGGTGTACAGAAGAAGTGATAGGATGATGCGAATGAAGCTGAGTTTTGGAGATGATCTATTTGTGGTGTTTAGTGTGTACGCACCCCAGGTAGGGTGTGCAACAGTGGAGAAAGATTGTTTTTGGAATGAATTGGATGAAGAAATGAGGACACTGGAAGGAGATGAGAGAGTAATTGTGGGAGGCGACCTCAATGGGCACATAGGGGGTCGGAACGTGGGCTATGAAAGGGTTCATGGAGGCCATGGGGTTGGGGAACTAAATCAAGAAGGGGAGAGAATTATGGGTTTTGCTGTGGCTTTCGACCTGGTGATTGTGAATTCGTTTTTCACCAAGCAGGAAAGTCATCTGATAACTTTTAACAGTGGGCCTAATAGTTCACAGATTGACTATATCCTCACTAGACGAGAGCACCTTGCGACGGTGATAAATTGTAAGGTTATACCAACAGATCAGGTATCGGCGCAACATCGGTTGATGTGCATAGACATGAAGTCAAGAATGCATAGAAAAATTGGAAATACACAGATGAAGAAAATTAAGTGGTTTCGTTTGAGGGAGGAGAGGGTGAGGGCGGATTATGTAGAGAGGGTGTTGATACAAATCTCGCAAGATTGGGAAGGGGTGCAGGACTGGTGGTCATATAATGCCAATGCTATCAGGAACTGTGCAGAGGAGGTGCTTGGTGTAACATCTGGAAAGATTAGGGTGCAAAAGGAAGGTTGGTGGTGGAATGAAAGTGTGCAACAAGCTGTTAAGGCAAAAAAGGAGGCAAAACGGAAGTGGGACAGGTCACGTACAGAGGAAGATAGATTAGTGTATAAAGCGGCAAAGCGTGAAGCTAAGAGAGTGGTGGCACAGGCAAAGGCAGGAGCATATGCGAACTTATACGAGGAGTTGGATACAAGGGAAGGACAGAAGAAAATATATCGTTTAGCCAAACTCAGGAATAGGGCAACGAAGGATATTTCGCATGTAAGGCAGATCAAGGACACGACGGGGATGGTCCTACGAGGGGAGAACGATATAAGAGAAGGATGGAGGGCATACTTTGAAGGACTTTTGAATACAGAGAATGAAAGAATGAACAGAGAGGAGGGAAACCGAAACATGGGCATGGTACAGATGGTCACTAGAGAAGAAGTGGAAAGGGCCCTAAAGAGGATGAAGAACGGTAAAGCGGAGGGCCCGGATGGAATCCCTGTAGAGGTGTGGAAGTCATTGGGGAAGAAGGGTATTGATCTGTTATGGGACCTATTCAAAAAAGTCTTTGAGCAGGAAGAAATACCTAACGAATGGAGAGAAAGTATACTTGTACCTATCTACAAAGGAAAAGGGGATGTTCAAGATTGTAAAAATTACAGAGGAATAAAGTTGATGTCTCACACGATGAAGATTTTGGAAAGGGTTTTGGAAGGAAGGTTGAGAGAAGAGGTGACCATTTCAGGAGAGCAGTTTGGATTCATGCCAGGACGATCAACAGTCGATGCCATTTTTGCCCTTCGGCAAATGTTGGAAAAATACTGGGAGAAGCAACAACAGCTGCATATGGCATTCATTGACCTGGAGAAAGCTTATGACACGGTGCCTAGACAAGAACTCTGGAGGTGTCTAAGGGAAAAGATGGTTCCTGAAAAGTATGTTAGATTGATCCATGAACTGTATAGGGATGTGGCCACAAAGGTTAGGAGCTGTGTAGGAGTGTCCCGGTGCTTCAGGGTGAGAGTTGGTTTACATCAAGGGTCAGCACTGAGCCCCTTTTTGTTTAACATACTGATGGAGGTGATCACGGACGAGGTCAGAGAAGAGGCACCTTGGACCATGTTGTATGCAGATGATATCGTTCTGTGCGCCGAAACAAAAGAGGAGCTGAGGGTTAAATTGGAAAGGTGGTTGGGTGTGTTGGAAGGGAGGGGCATGAGGGTGAGCAGGAGTAAAACAGAGTATATGTGTAGTGGGGAGGAGGATGGTGCCCGGGAGAGTGATCTGGAGTTGAGGGGTGACGTATTCCGAAGAGTCAATACCTTTAAGTACCTGGGGTCAACTATGGCTGAGGATGGAAGTGTGGATAAGGAGGTGACAGGCAGGATTCAGGCTGGTTGGCGGAATTGGAGGGATATGTCAGGAGTGTTGTGTGATAAGAGGGTGCCACTTAGGTTGAAAGGGAAAGTTTATCGGATGGTGGTGAGACCAGCTATGCTGTACGCTATTGAGACTGTGAGCTTAAGGAAAACCCATGTCAAAAGGATGGAGGTGGCGGAGATGAGGATGCTCCGTTGGATGTGTGGGGTTACGAGACGGGATCACATTCGAAATGAATGTGTGAGGGGGACAGTGAAAGTTGTGAACATAGAAGCAAAGATACAGGAAGCGAGGTTGAAATGGTTTGGTCATGTGGTACGGAGGGAAGAAGGGTATGTGGGAAGAAGGGTTATGCAGATGAGAGTGAGGGGGAGGAGGCGGCGGGGACGGCCGCGGAAAAGGTGGATGGATCTTGTGGAGGAGGACTTGAGAGAAAAGCATCTGAATGTGGAGGCAGCCCAGGACAGAGAGCAGTGGAGACGACTCGTCAGAAACAGCGACCCTACATAGTGTGGGAAAAGCTGAAGAAGAAGAAGATACTTTTATCTACTTTAGACATTCTTGTGTCATTATAAAATGTTCAATGTAAAGATCCACTTTGAACTTGTTATAATGAGTAAAAAGAAACACATAATTTCCAATTAAAATATATTTTCTGTAAAGTAATTTTATATGCTATTATAATACAATCGCGTATTTCGAGCCAACGTTTCTTCTTAGCAGATGTTACCTTTTTATGTTTATATTTTAATATGCCCATACAGCTACAGAGTAAGATGGTGTGAGCTGGATATTTACCCTGTGGGATGAACAGTTGGTAATTCGTTTAACAAATTAGTGATGTTTTAGTAAATGAAACTGTATTGTAATAAACAGGAAAATATTTTAAAAAAGTTTTTCTGGGAAAATTTAAAACATGGCATTTTAAAGGTCTTTTCCGAAAATGTTAAAATAACATATGGGTATATTAAAGTATATAAAAAAAGAGAATAATATCTGCTGTGGACGAACATTGACCCGAAATGCTCGATGCAAGCTCCGGCAAGGCGTAATATATACAAACATCGCTAAACCCGATATATAATATCGCTAAACACCAACCGTATGCCGAAAATCTATCGGGCTAGTTTAAAGCAAATTACTAAATGAATTACGTAACCAATTTGGTTCTAGAGGTAAGCATTAGGTGCCATCTCTTATTAACACCGGGCCGATTTTTTCTCCCAGCGGGTTCTAAATTATTTAAATTAATTAATGATAATAAGAGATGGCGCCTAAACAAATAAGCCGGTAATAAGAGATGGCTCTAGAGCCAAATTGGTTACGTAATTAATTTAGTAATTAGCCTTAAACTAGCCCGATAGATTTTCGGCATACGGTTGGTGTTTATCTTTAAAAGCGATTTTAGGTTTTATAGGTATTAAACTTTAAATAACGATGTTTCAGAAAAAGGAATGAGCATCTATTAAGAAGATTAAACGTGTAAAAGCCGATTAGAGAATAAATGATCAATTGACAAACCGTGAGGATTGAAAAAGACAATCGATAAGAAATAGTCCCGTAAAACGTTACGTGCCAAATTATTTCTTTTGACTTGCCACAACTTCTCTACTCATAGTCCAAAAATACAGCAAAATGACTTCGGATATCGAAGAATATTTTACATGAGTATAAAAAGCAAGTACTACATTGAAAAAGTTGTGTATATAATTATACAACTGAAACTAAGTAAACTAATGCTTAAAACAGAAAATGATGACGTTAGTGTATCAGCTGCGTCCTACAATCATTAGCACACGAATGTAAAAATGTACCTGGATTCATTTGAGGAAACAGATTATGAAAGAAAACTGATAAAAACATTCGATGAATACAATAGAAACCTCATTTGAAAACATCTTTTATAATATACGATGAATGCTACGATTATTTTTAATTTTATTCGACCATGTGTAATATATTTTTACTTGATAAACTTTTAAAATATTTTATTGCATAAGTCACATTGTGATCTAGCTCGTTTTACTACATTAGTAAATTCCAATTTTAATACATGAATAACTATTTTGGTACAGTAAACAAGTGAAAGCATTTCTATTAGTAATGTAAACATATTAAATAGGCATGGGCATTAGCTTTAAAGGAATAGAGGAAATTAGTTATCTTTACTATAAAGTATTTTTATTGGCATGTAGAGGTACTAGCCGTTGAAGCTGATGTCATTATATAACTTGCATATTTTAGTAATTTTGCATTATGTTCAGTTTAATACATACAAGAGCAGCATGAATTCGAACATCGAAGAAGTTTGCATGAATTGTTTCCTCGAACCCTGCTGGACAACAATCCTAATTTTCGGTTTCGATCCTTTCGAAACTTGTACCTGTAAAATCCCAATTTCCAAACCTAAATATTTAAAATTAAAAAATATCTACATTCGATTCGTACAGTTTACAAACTGGCAATTCGCTGCACTTTTCTCGTGGCATTTATTGCCAGGTTTAGGTGAATATGCATTGTGTCTTGGATGGTATGATGTTTTCAAAGGTGACGCTGCCACAATGAAGACTACGTTTCTAGTTGTTTACCTCACGATTTCAA